GGTATGGCCAAAGATATAAATGTACACTAATTAAAACCTAAATCGAATAAGTCAAAAACTCCGCGTTGTACAATATCGAACAAATATTCAGTACATGCAGGGAATTAATAAAAAAAACTTACCGATACATAAGATTGTAGTTGTTTCAATGGTGTGACAATTGTATCAATTGATTTATCCAAACCAACAAGATTTGTTGATAGACTTACAAAATCAGCATAATCTTGATTGATCAATTCAATTAAACTGGACTTAAGAATATTAGAATATTGAAGAAGATCATCACGAAGTTTTTCTAATGATATCCCACGACAATGTTGCTCCAAAATAAAATCGTCCGGTTTAAAGTCATCCTGTAAAAATATTTTCAAAAAAGAACTAGTGTGAATATAAATTACTTTACAGCTACGTGTTGAAAAAAACTTGATGACAGATCGACATACTGTTTTATATACCTCAAATACCAAAAAAACAATTCCATAAAACTTCCTTAGTCATCATTTTTGCAGATTTACGCAAAGATTACAAGACATCCATATGAATGGTAAGGCCATACATGGACCGCTTAGTGGTTAGGGAATTCGGTTCTCAACCAATAGACGACCCTAAATTAGAAACCCTTTGGATATAGTTTTGTTTAGGGGGCCAAACACCGAGCCTAAAGGTCTAATCTATAAGGCAGTGGAGCAACGCCAGGAAATGCAGCCCCATGATAGCTGGCGACCAACAGTAGGTTCATATGCCATTTATTCCTTCCGTACCAGGGCATTTAGGGACAAACCAGTCATTAGCGTGTGGTAGAAGAATACTTGCGATATGTATTGCGACGAACCAGTCATCAACTATACCCAGAGGTACAAATAATGGTGGATTATTAATGGAAGTGATTGAACTGTATGCTTTTTGTCCTAAAAGAATAAGTGATTTTACTTGCTGATACACATACATGCACCAATAATCTGTATTTGAGTAGTGGACATTCCATTCATTGCAAAAACTACTTAATCTTCCACTGTGTACACGGAGCACATAAAGTATATTCGATCAATATTCATACACTATATATGATCTAACTCAGATACTAACAACTATACCACACAATCAAAAGCTATCGGTTTTATACAGGGATGATCAGACAAAAAGTTATAGTTTAACGGGTAGAACACTAAACTAGTGTTAATATATATATATATATATATATATATATATATATATATATATATATATATATATATATATATATATATATATAAGGACTTTTCTAATTTTTCCTTAACTATTTCCCACATCAGTCGTTTACGTACAATAATAACACCCATTTATACTTCTCTTCGTGAAAGATGATTCTCAGAAATAATATTTATTCAGTACATTATGAAGTTGGATCATTCCTATATTTACAGTTCACATATATATATATATATATATATATATATATATATATATATATATATATATATATATATATAACTAAAAATGATAGCAAGGTAAGAAATTTTGGATGTCCTGACAACTTTATCCAGTTAATGAGTCATAAAGAAAAAAAAAAACTCAAGTCCTTCATTCCACTAATTGCAGTTATCAAATATGGTTCAGATCGAGATAATTAACTAAACGATATGTGATCTGTAGTTAAAAACCTACTTTGAAGTGGAAAGCTACTCGGAGTATGAGAAAACCACACTGTGGTCTGCATCGTTCTGTAATGACAATTGTAAGTTTGCAGTAGCAAGAGCCCTTTATGATTGTAGATTTCATAATCTATTATAGTGAAGTAAATGAACTTATTCATTTACCTAATTGAAATAACCATCACATTGTTCTGAATCTTTGTCGTTTAATTTTTTCGTCTTTTATTGTGTAAGCACTATTACTACTTCCTGTTGACATGAATAATTGATGCATCAAATACCAGTAAGGAATTTTTAATATCACTTGTGTAATATTGCGACAAATTTCTGTACATCATGCTTTCGAATTGTAATTGATCTAAAAGTACTCTATAAATATTCCAGAAATTTTAGCATTCGTTATATATCTTCGCCCCCAAATGCCCTGATACGGCCGAGAGTGGGGAGAGTTCGCTCTTCCTCTCGAAATGCTCTCACATGGCCACGCGTATATAGCCTGTCAGGGAAGTCCTACTCATTGCCTTCTCGTGGTGGTGTTGTTTACGAAATTAAGAGGACGAAAAGCGAATGTCCGGCGTTTTAACCGGGTTGGTGGACATTAGGAATCCACCTAGGGGAGTTGGAAAACCCTGATTCCAAACCACTGGTGCACATGGGCTCCAGTATCCTGAAAGAACAAATGGCGTATGGACCAATCGTATGTCACCGGCTACCATGGGACTACATCTCCTTAGAATGCTCCACTGCCTTGTGGGTCAGACCTTCAGGTCGAAGGCACCGAGTGTGGCCTCCTAAGAAAACCACCTGCGTCGGTTTGGACGCCCGGGCAGTATCACAGCCCTCACACATATCAAATGAGATTTGTGTGGCGCATATGTATTCGGTGCCCCCCTTGTACCAATATCTGTGTTAAAATAAATAAATAATAAATATCTATCTTCGACTGTGAAATGTTCCTACTAGTTCAGCTGCTACAGCTAGGTTTTCTTCTCATACACCATATACAGGAAGAGTGGATTCAAATATATTTGTTTCATTAAATGATAGACAAAGAGAAAAAACATACAAAAAATAAAGATGACTTTGTTCGAGCTTTTCCGTAATTAGTATAGCAATAATTTACAAGTTGTTCCTTGTGGTATCGTGTGCTAGTAGTATATACGTTTATTTAAAATAGGTGACCCAAAAGTTTGAGCAGACTTCTGAAACTGCTATGTCGTTGTAATGTGCGACAACATAAATACATACGTGTGAAACTTAATATTACACCCTATGAAACTTTTAAGTATAGGAAGGATCTAGTTAGCTAATGAAAGTCATATTTGACATGTATAAACCAGACGAGAAGCTTATAGCGGGATAATAAACAAAGTTTGCAGTAAAGCCATATATACCATCGGATTAAGGAATAAGACGAAACTAGGCAAGGATTTAGAGGAAACTAATTATATGGGATTTTAAAAGTATATACTGAAACTTTCACTACGGTGAAGTTAAACAGGGCTCTATGTAAAATATACTTTGTGTCTCCTATTAATATTGTTAGAATGGACAATGACGAACACCTGTACCCTACCATAAAAGAATATTCAATAACCACTCCAATTTGATAAGAACTTAAACAGTCAGGAGCTAGATATAGCATTTTTGGACATCATTTTGTATTACTGAGAAGTGAATATCTTTAGAACTTAGTCATGTTATTTATGTATCTGCGCTTACACAAATAAACTGGAAAAGTTAGGAAAAAGAACTGATCATTACCAAGGTTTGACTTGATAATTTCAAACAATTTTAATAGTTCAGATCATGAGTCAATTGAAGCTAGACCATCATGGAAAACCTGGAAGCATTGGACGGCCGTTTCTTCCTACTGTGGGACACCTCAGCAGCGCGTGTCCACGATCCCGCCTCGGGAGATATCCACAAAACCACTTCTGATATTAATTTCAAATAAATTGGACATTTTATTAAGAACTGATTCATTACTTCATATTCAGTGAAATGAATGCATATTAATCTAGATACTAATAAGTAGAATCTGAAGGTCAAATATTTCTAATTCTTTAACTAGCAAACAATTGTTTCATAATATGCATATGCATCACTATCGGGATTGAACTGAAAAATTTCAAAATCAATTTTCACACAGCAGACAAATGTATTCAAAAGTAGTTTGAAAAAACGCTTACATTTAGAAATGATTCACGATCAAAACAGAATGTTAGACCAATAGGAGCAACATCAAGAGTATCCTCTAATAATAATTTCCGTAAATTAGAATTTTTGTTTTCTATTGAAGAATCCACTTTACTATTTTTTAATTCTTCAATTGTAGGCATGCTGAAAGACCAAAAAGCTCAGACTATTATCAAATGACACAACTTATTCACACTTTAATGAAAGTTAACTAAAATCTAACGTTATCAACAACCTTGGTTATTCATTCTAACCAAAAAAATTAAGAAATGAACACAGTTGATCAATATATATATGTATATTTGTATAGATGTGAAACACCAGTATTTATCAGAAGTGAACAATACAATACGACGCCCGCTAAAAAGTGTAGAAATTGTCATTTTTGAAAAAGAATTAACTTAATTCAGATTGAATAAAGCACAAAAGTTTAACAATTAAGATAATGAAAAATTATGATTAAATTATTAAGAAACTCTTGAAAACTTCATTGTATTTGATATGTATCAGTGATTTCTAATAGAAGATAATTGAAAATAGGTGTATTCAACACATCAATCGTATACAAATGAATAGATAGTACTGTACAAAACATGAAAAGTTATATTTAAATAAATAAATATAACGATGAGAAAAGAAATTAAAACGACTATAATACAAGAATAAAAAAGCAGTCACAATCAGACTACAATTTTAAGTAAACGCAAGTTAGAAGAAAGAAAGTAAATTGAAAATAGATCATACACACATAAACACAAAAGAGTATATTAATAGTGGCTATGCAATGTACGATTTTATTTTTAAAGCTGAATTATTACGATTTGATTAACTTGTATATTATAAGAAAGGATAATCGGAAATGAACAGCTGCCTATACACACATATATATATATATATATATATAATGAGAAACAGAAAGATTTGAAGTGAAAAATTACTGAAATGCTTTTCTTTCTTGGGGATGGGGTAAAGAAATTGACTATATTCATGATTGTGAATAACAAATAAACAGAAATCGAAAAAAAACAACAATTATTGATGTGGCATAATCAGAGATTATAATTATAACAAGGGTAAAAGTAATGTACATGAATGGGAAATAGACAAAATAACAAGATTATATACAGGATTGATATATATAGATATATAAGGTATGAGTATGATTGAAAATCATCGTTTTCTACGACACTGACGTTTATGTTCTTTTTGCCAATGTTCCTGTTGGCATTGTGTACTACAGTACGAAGTATTCCAACAACAATGATAGATAGCCTCTATAAGACAATTACGACACCACTGTCGACGTTTAGTCTGAACAATAACTTCTGCAAATCTTGCCTCAGCAGCTTCCAAAGTATCATGAGCTAATTTACGTTCATGTTCAATAGCCTCACGAGCACTGGCTTGAGCTTGTTCAAGAGCTGAATGTAAAGCGGTAGCTTTCTCTTCTTTAAATTGAGCTATGAGTTTTTCTTCAAGTTCTCGCAAAGCTCTTTTAGTATCATTAGCTGCAGCCAACCGTTCTGCTTCACGTTCTTTACACTGTGAACATGGTTGTTGAGATAATATCGGTATTTCCATACTGGCTGGGGTCTAGGTAACGAGAAAAAATGAATAAACAAAATATATAAAATCAAAAATCTTGGACAATAAGCGCTAAATAAAAAAGAATGCTTAATATTAAATGACAATTATTCTTCATACTATTTCGCTGAAACCGAACAATAATTAACAGGTCTAATACTTGCTAGATGCTTATTATAAAAGATTTAGAACAAACAAAATTATTAAAAAGACTTGAAGTACAATGAATCTATTATAATGGACATGGATGACATAGTAAAAAAGCAACGCAAATCAAATCACCGAATAAAACACTGATATGATACACTTGATAAGACTCAAGAAAGGAGGAACAAGAAGACAGCAATCAATACCAGTCGAACAAGAGCAGAAAAAGCCAAGGCACAAGCTGAATACACAGAAATAAACAAACAAGTGAAGAGGAGCATCAGAACCGACAAACGTAAATATATGGAAGATTTAGCAACGACGGCGGAAAAGGCTGCAAGAGAAGGAAACATGAAACAATTGTATGACACGACAAAGAAACTCACTGGAAATCGCCGCAAACCAGAACGACCAGTGAAAAGCAAGCAAGGCGAGGTAATCACCAACATTGAAGAGCAACAAAACAGGTGGGTAGAACACTTTAAACAACTCTTGAATCGACCAGCCCTACTGAACTCACCCAATATCGAAGCAGCACCCACGGATCACCCAATCAGTGTTGGCCCATCAACAATTGAAGAAATCAACATGGACATCAGACAAATCAAGAGTAGCAAAGCAGCAGGACCAGACAACATTCCAGCAGAGGCACTGAAAGCAGACGTAGCGCCAACTGCATGGATACTCCACATTCTCTTCAATAAGATTTGGGATGAGGAACAAGTACCAAAAGACTGGGAAGAAGGACTTCTGATCAAAATACCAAAGAAGGGCGATCTTAGCAAGTGTGATAACTACAGGGGCATCACTCTTCTCTCAATACCGGGAAAGTCTTCAACAGGGTATTGGGCGGCCTGCTTGAGCATCTGGGCTACCTGTTCCTGTCATCTAAATATTTCAACAAGTTATCTATTTTTGTTTGTTTTAATATATCATTATGTATATTAATCGCATAACCCATCCTTGTGCATTTCTGAAAAGTTTACAACCTTTCGTTGCCAAAGTTACTAAAAGCTCAATAAGAGATAATGTGGTCGCTGGCAATATGCAGAGAAAAGAATGTAGATTATTTAAATGTTCATTTACTGGACTGCTAACATCTAACTGGCGATCACTCAATATTTATCGTCAGGATCGACCCAGAAGAAAGAAACGGAAACTTGTTGAAATACTTTGTGCTGAGAATTCTATATTGTACCGAAAATATAATATTGAATAAAGCTTATAATAATAATAATAATTGTTAAACAGGATGAAGGACTGCGTAGACGCCCAACTTCGTGACCAACAAGCAGGATTCCGTAAGGATAGATCATGTACAGACCAAATTGCAACTCTATGAATCATTGTGGAACAATCAATTGAATGGAATTCATCACTCTACATCAACTTCATTGACTACGAAAAAGCATTTGACAGCGTGGACAGAACAACACTATGGAAGCTTCTTCGACACTACGGTGTGCCTCAGAAGATAGTCACTATCATGCAGAATTCCTATGGTGGATTACACTGCAAAATCGTGCATGGAGAACAGTTGACAAAGTCGTTCGAAGTAAAGACTGATGTCAGGCAAGGTTGCTTACTCTCAACCTTACTCTTCCTTCTGGTAATCGACTGCATCATGAAGACGTTAACATCTGAAGGGAAGCATGGGATACAATGGACAACTAGGATGCAGTTAGACGATCTAGATTTCGAAGATCATCTGGCCCTTCTATCCCAAACGCAACAACAAATGCAGGAGAAGACGAACAGTGAGGCAGCAGCCTCAGCAGCAGTAGGTCTAAATATACACAAAGGGAAAAGCAGGATTCTCCGATACAACACAACATGCACCAATCCAATCACAATTGACAGAGAAGATTTGGAAGATGTAAAAACCTTGAAATATTTGGGCAGCATCATTGATGAACAGGGTGGATCTGATGCAGATGTGAAGGCGCGGAACAGCAAAGCAAGAGCAGCATATTTACAACTGAGTAACATCTGGAACTCAAAGCAACTTTCAACCAACACCAAGGTCAGAATTTTCAATACAAATGTCAAGACAGTTGTGCTGTATGGGGCGGAAACCTGGAGAACTACGGAATCCATCATCCAGAAAATACAGGTGTTTATTAACAATTGTCTACCCAAAATACTTCAGATCCATTGGCCGGACATTATTAGCAACAACCTACTGTGGGAGAGGACAAACCAGATCCCAGCGGAGGAAGAAATCAGGAAGAAGCGCTGAAAGTGGATAGGACACACATTGAGGAAAGCACCCAACTGCGTCACAAGACAAGCCCTCATATGGAATCGTGAAGGCCAAAGGAAAAGAGTAAGACCAAGGAACACATTACACCGAGAAATGGAGATAGACATGAGAAAAATGAACAAGAATTGGATGGAACTAGAAAAGAAGGCCCAGGACAGAGTGGGTTGGAGAATGCTGGTCGGCGGCCTATGCTCCATTGGGAGTAACAGGCGTAAGTAAGTAAGTAATGAGTATATATATTATAACCTATGTTGACAAAGTGAGATGTTTTTTACTAAGCTGATTCGAGAAAAAACATCAACACCCATGTAGGGACTAAAATAGCAGAATCAAGTTAAAACGTAAGGAAATTAAACTACCAAGTTTATTCTTTCATACATAATAACATGAAAAGTTATATTTAAATAAATAAATATAACGATGAGAAAAGAAATTAAAACGACTATAATACAAGAATAAAAAAGCAGTCACAATCAGACTACAATTTTAAGTAAACGCAAGTTAGAAGAAAGAAAGTAAATTGAAAATAGATCATACACACATAAACACAAACGAGTATATTAATAGTGGCTATGCAATGTACGATTTTATTTTTAAAGCTGAATTATTACGATTTGATTAACTTGTATATTATAAGAAAGGATAATCGGAAATGAACAGCTGCCTATACACATATATATATATATATATATATATAATGAGAAACAGAAAGATTTGAAGTGAAAAATTACTGAAATGCTTTTCTTTCTTGGGGATGGGGTAAAGAAATTGACTATATTCATGATTGTGAATAACAAATAAACAGAAATCGAAAAAAAACAACAATTATTGATGTGGCATAATCAGAGATTATAATTATAACAAGGGTAAAAGTAATGTACATGAATGGGAAATAGACAAAATAACAAGATTATATACAGGATTGATATATATAGATATATAAGGTATGAGTATGATTGAAAATCATCGTTTTCTACGACACTGACGTTTATGTTCTTTTTGCCAATGTTCCTGTTGGCATTGTGTACTACAGTACGAAGTATTCCAACAACAATGATAGATAGCCTCTATAAGACAATTACGACACCACTGTCGACGTTTAGTCTGAACAATAACTTCTGCAAATCTTGCCTCAGCAGCTTCCAAAGTATCATGAGCTAATTTACGTTCATGTTCAATAGCCTCACGAGCACTGGCTTGAGCTTGTTCAAGAGCTGAATGTAAAGCGGTAGCTTTCTCTTCTTTAAATTGAGCTATGAGTTTTTCTTCAAGTTCTCGCAAAGCTCTTTTAGTATCATTAGCTGCAGCCAACCGTTCTGCTTCACGTTCTTTACACTGTGAACATGGTTGTTGAGATAATATCGGTATTTCCATACTGGCTGGGGTCTAGGTAACGAGAAAAAATGAATAAACAAAATATATAAAATCGAAAATCTTGGACAATAAGCGCTAAATAAAAAAGAATGCTTAATATTAAATGACAATTATTCTTCATACTATTTCGCTGAAACCGAACAATAATTAACAGGTCTAATACTTGCTAGATGCTTATTATAAAAGATTTAGAACAAACAAAATTATTAAAAAGACTTGAAGTACAATGAATCTATTATAATGGACATGGATGACATAGTAAAAAAGCAACGCAAATCAAATCACCGAATAAAACACTGATATGAGTATATATATTATAACCTATGTTGACAAAGTGAGATGTTTTTTACTAAGCTGATTCGAGAAAAAACATCAACACCCATGTGGGGACTAAGATAGCCAAAATAAATTACAACGTAAGGAAATTAAACTACCAAGTTTATTCTATCACACATAATAACTGGAAATTCACATTATTAATAATAACGTTTCGAAGTAGGACATCCCAATAATAAATTATAACCAATAAAAAGTTTCAAATTATACAATCACTGGTCAAAAATTACAAAAAGGAAATAAATTTCCTGTCAGATTATAACAGCTTACCTGGATTCCTTTATGAAGTTGTTTTCTCGGAGAGGATGTCACAGAAAATTCAGGACTTTTCACAGAAGCTTGACGTTGATTAGTTTCATTTGAAACATCATTTACTCCTCCTCCAACTGAGTCTCTGTTTAGAGCTGCTGCTGTAGCTGCAGCAGCAGCACGTTTATTTGGCGGTAAGTGTGAACGTGGGAGAGTAGACATTCCGGGAGTAGTGGCAACATTATTTGAATTGCTAGACAAGGCACCTGAAGATATAAAATGTGAAGAAAGATTAGCATTAGATGTAGTAGGATGAACGGAACCACTTAGTCTGTTATTAGTGGATGAAGTTCCTGAATTCACTGAAGAATTTATTGTAACAACAGAATCATTGCATGGAGAAAAAAGATTTTGGCCAGTATTAGAAAATAAGTTTGTAGCAGTAGATAGACTGTTTCGATCATTAGTAGCGTTCAAATTACTAATGGATCCAGATGTACTCAAAGGAGGAGCGAATGGTGGTCGACGTAACATTGTACTGCTTGCTCCAGAAGTTCTATCCTTGTTGCTTGAACCACTACGAGTTGGACTACGGAATCTACGGTCATCATCTTCATCGTCAACTTTGACAATATTACGATGTCTGCGTCCACTTTCATCGTTGTTATCCATATCAGAAGAAGAGGGTGAAGAGCATGTACTATAATTGCTAGAATGAGAAGAACGCTGTTTAGCAGTAGATGCCTTCTTAGATGGTGATGTTTTATGGATACTCGAATCATTAGTTCCAGATTTTCTCATTGAAGAAACAGGTGTACCCGATGTGTTGTAAACACTTGATGAATGATGCGAATGCCAACGATAGTTATTCGAGTGCCTCAAATTCTGACTGTCGTTTCCAATGGGAGAATCACATCGGTCAGTTAGCTCGTCATCTTCATCTCGAACATTACCAAAACTATCCATTTGTTTGGAATACCTTTTAGAACGTTTACCTCCGGAATTCGCTGTATCTTGAGTCGAAGTTTTATTTGGAATCGTTAACCGTTTTCTTTTAGCACCTTCAATACGATTAAGAGAGCTATTTGAGGCAGCTAACTTCGGTCGTCCTCGAGTTGGACTCTAAAAAGGTCAAATAAGGCTAATAATTAGAGCAACAATTGGAAACGAGGAAAGAGTTTAACTACGCGCCATCAAAAATGTAATGTAAACCCAGTGAGAATTTTAACATATGAGCATAGTCAGTAAAACCTATGGAAAAATTAGTGTACACTGTGAGAAAATGCCAATAAAAAAGATGGACTACTCAACATGCGCGGATTCAAGATAACATGCACATGAAACTTGAAGCCAGTTAGTCATTATGTTAATTTAGTTTCTTTTTGACAGAAGCGTTATTTACAGTTTCAGTCAGTCAGTCAGTCAGTAACAACGTAGAACTTCGTACGTACGTACATCAGTTCGAGTTGCCACACCACATTAGCACAGAGATGCACTTGTCGATTCAAATCCCGTAGTGATAGAGGTAATAAGAGTAATCGGGAAGATTAGGGTTTGGAGATGTTATTTAAAGAGTATAATCCAGTGAAAGAAATTTGGAAAGAGGAAAAAAGGGACATGAAGAATTCAGAAGATTAGAGTTTGGGAGAACACAGAGAGTGGATGCACCTGCGCCATTGCAAACGATTTTGAGCCATGTCATTCAGGGTCTCTAACCATCGGTTGCTGTCATCTCGCGGTCCCCAACCAGGTAGTCTACACCTACCAACATGACTCAGTTCACTTGTCAGTGACTTCATGGACTTGTGCCATGTTTTGGTTTGGCCGCCCCTAGCTTTCTTCCAACCTACTCCTATACCACTGAACATAGCACGTCGAGGCATACGTAACATGTGTCCCAGCCATCTCAACTGATGAAGTTCCACTACGTCATCAATTGATTTGCCATCCTTACCTAGTACCCGTTTCCTAACAACTGTGTTACTTACTCGATGGTCCCATGATATACGAGCAATGTTTCGAAGACACCTATGATCAAATACTAGTAACCTACGGATATCCTCTACTCTTACCGGCCATGTTTCACTGCCATAAAGTAGGACGGAACGAACTGCTGCGCAGTAAACACGTCCTTTGGTTGATAGACGGATATCTCGCCTACGCCATAAATGACGCAAGTTGGCAAAAGCTAGTCGAGCCTTCTGTATCCGTGCTGAGATTTCGTCACACACCAAACCACAAGGGCTGATGAGACTTCCAAGATAAGTGAAGCGGTCGACACACTCAACTACTTCACTCCCTATCACTAGTTCGGGTGTCGATGTAACCCAATCCTGAAGCAACATTTTGCATTTCGAGGGAGAGAATCGCATCCCGAACATGCTTGCATTGTTGCTTAGAGTGGTCAGAAGACTCTGCATTTTGTCAGCGTCTTCACCAAATAAGACTATGTCATCTGCATATTCTAAGTCAACAAGTGAACCTCCTGGTAGAAGTTCAACCCCTGGAAATTTAGATGAGGAGAGTGTTATCTCTAAAAGTACGTCAATGACAAAGTTGAACAAGAATGGGGAGAGTGGACAGCCCTGACGAACACCACTTGAGGTGATCAATTCTGATGACAGTTCGCCATAAGCTCTCACTCTACCAGTTGTGTTCGAGTAGAGAGCCTTTATAAGGTTAATGTACTTCTTTGGTACTCCTTTCAGTGACAAACACTGCCATAGAACCTTACGATCAACGGAGTCGAATGCCGCCTTAAGGTCGAGAAATACTACCATTGTGGGGCGTCTGAATGTGTGTCTGTGTTCTAGAACCTGACGTAGTGTGAATATCTGATCGATACAACCACGTCCAGGTCGAAAACCAGCCTGGTTTTCTCTAGTCTGCTCTTCACGAGCTTTAGTTAGGCGTCGAAGTATTATTGAGGCTAATATTTTAGACACTATATTAGTCAAACTGATTCCTCTGTGATTGTCACAAGAGGACTTTTGTCCTTTCTTATAAGCTGGCACAATCTGTGATTGAGACCAGTCAGATGGGATTACGTCCAGTTCCCAAGGAACAGGCGGTTATCTGAGCATAGCTGCAACAGACGGTCGCCATTATCTGTTCTTTGAGCCACACCATAAGATCCACCTAGGTGTCTTTCCTTATCGCTTAGTTTACCTACTTGAGCATTAAAGTCACCGGCCACTATTACTACATCCGAGCGCTTAGCTTTTCGGAGAAGGTCCGAAAGCTTTCTGTAAAACTCATCTTTTACATCATCTGAGCTGCAGTCAGTGGGAGAATAGGCAGAGACGACGAAGAGGCAACGACGAGTGTCCCTACCTTTTCGGATCCTCACTGTTCCGTTTAGTCGGACAGAGCACAAACGACTGTCTACTGGGATCCACTCTAAGAGAGCTAGTTCTGCCCTAGGACTCAATGCTATACCTACGCCGGCGAGGCCACGGGAAGCAGAATCAGGGCTTCCAGATACACGAAGCGAAATCGAGTCGGTTCTTTATTTTGGCATGGTGGGGTCAAATGAATGACGCTACTTGGATCCTGTATGCGCGTTTCGGAGACGCAGCACACATCGATGGCGCGAGATTCTAAAGTTTTAGCTAAGGAAGCCTGCTGTCCTATTTGGCAAAGTGTTCGTACGTTAAAAGCTCCTACGTGTAGTTTAGAGCGTGGTTTCAGGAGACCAGGAATGGTGTTCCACGTACTCGAATGGTTTGCCCTAGCGGTGCGAGGTGATAAAGAGACGTGAGGAGGGTTAGTCGGGAGGATAAGAGAGGTATTAGGAGGTGTAGGAAGGATTTGAATGTGACCAACTTTGTCTCGTGTGCTGTTACGGGTATGAGGGCTGATGTCACTTCCCGGCTGCCCACACCGTGGAAGGGTATTTCTTGATGAACCTGAAAAGGAAATTGGATTAGTGTTGGTCTTGACGACCTGGGAGCGTGACCGCAGAGCCCAAGGGACAACTGCTTGAGGCCGGTCGCGCACGGCCTTTTTGTGTAAGGTTTTTGACGTGTTAGCTCCGTTCTTCAAGGGGCCTTATCGCCAGAGACGGAAATCCGTGATGTAAGGTGAGGTGTGACATTTTTAGGGTCGACCTTTTCTAACCCCACCCCTCCTTGTGGGAAGGCAGCATCGCTGTCATGCTGGTTGTCCGAGGGAAACACCTTACTGCTGTCACACCCCTCTACAGTCAGCAGTACGACTTCGCCCTCAGACCTTGAGTTGCTGCTTTTAGTCTTACCGTTCTCCAATCGACCTGCCTGGCATGGTAGAACCTACAGGAACATATGTTCCAGCCAATATAGCTCGGTTGGGTCATCACGATAGGCAAGCCCGACCACCGCGTCAAGGTAGCAGCTTCGATCGGGTTACTAGTTAGTAGGAAATAACGATTGAATAGAAATTTTACTCTAAATAATTATCTCAGCAAAGCATGATAAACGTTATATCTAGATGGTTGTTTTCTTGATATACTGCGTATAACTTGAGCAATAAAACGCCAGAACCCTTACAAGTCGCAGTGAGAAGAGAGAAGAGTAGTGAAAGGAATGTTATTCCAGACAGTGTGAATCATAGCACAAAATTGTCAGGTATTTATAGTTTTTTAGCAAGAACGAAATCATCATAACAGTCCTCCAACCCGCATACAGGGGGTTATTAGCATTGTCCAATCGGGAAGCTACAGGTAGGAATTCTAGGATATTCTTCCAAAAAATGATCGGATGGAATACCTTCGGCTCCTTCTGAACCTTTTACAGCTTCCTCGGGTTCACCCGTGGTCCGTCCTCACAATAGAATTCAATATAACGTTAAATAGAAAAGTATATGCAAAACAATAATCTAAACTCGTTTACTTTTCCATCGAGATATGTTCAGTTGCAAATCTAGCTTTGGTAATCATTAACATTTTTTCGTTAACGCAGAGGACAACTACAAACTAGATTCTCCTGAATGCCAGAGGACAGTAGCACGCATTCAACTGTAAGTAATTGGTTTTCATACAGACAGTAATGGAGAATGATTGTGGTTTACAGAGGTCTCATCTAATGTTAGGCATTGTTTCACGTTCATTTGCGTCAGCTGTTAAATAACGTGGGAGCAAAATCCGACTCAAAACCTCCACGTGGAGCCACTGGGTAGTGGGGGAAACCCCGCTAGTTCATTCGGGCGCTAAGCAGAGATCGGATTAATCTACCACTCCTAAACTGAAAATGGATTACTTGGGGTTCAAACATTAAGGCTCTCAAATGTTGTGGACTCCTCGATGTGTGTGTTTGTGTAAGTGAATTCCACGAGTCACAGTTTGTGTAGGTAAGCATATGCAGAGGGTATACGCCGGGATTGAAAAAGAAACAAACTGATATGTTTGCTCTATGTCTAATAAAATCAGCTGCCTAAACCAACAAGTCGAAGATATAATAAAAAGACACGATTGCACTTATTAGGGGAAGGTGATCATCAACCCTCCCTGAAAGTGTTTATGCTTATCTGCACGCCATGAAGTGCGAGGGCGAAAGTCTTTGTATCAGTGGTATGCATATAATGCTCAAGAGACAGTCAGTTATGGCGAATACGTTCGAATAGAGGTTAACATCTAACCTCCTGAGTGAATATACCTATATGTATGCGAAAGGATGCATAAGTGAAAACTTATATGTTACCTGTATGTATGTAACGCATACTTGCACCTGGTGCGATACCCGCGCGACGAGAATCTGGGGTACTGATTTCACCAGGGAATAACACCCATACAGTGAGTTTGCGAGTCTGGAAAAACAGAACCTATTTCCAGAAAGGCCACCAGGCTTCACCAACATTAAACGGCTGGAACAGAGTTGGATAACGCAATGACGTATGAAGTGAACGATATTGGGTTCGGGTCCCGGAGTGAATACCAACTCTAGGATGTAGACACGCCCAGATGACGAGTCCCAAGCAAGACAAAACGCGTATCCTGGATCCCACTGCTATTCGCCATTTTTTCTTTACTTACGACTGTTTTATTTTGTTGAACAGTGAGATAGGATTTTGAAAGATGTTCAACGTCGTCCAATCTTAATTATGACTGACATGGCCAACACTGAATAAGACTAATCATCAAAATGTGCTCAAAATGCGATCAATTCACTTGTGCGAAGCCTACAAAAAATATTTTTATTTATATTCTTTGCTTTCAGAGGCCGAGATTACTTTATATTCTTCTTACTTCGAGTGAAGTTGTGATGCTTCAGCATATTATTGACAGTAATGAAACCTAGTGGAATTGATAGCTTGTTATCAATTATTGATCTCCTATATTTTGTATATGACTGTGTCACCACATCACATAAGATAACATTAAGACGTACAATAAAAACAATAATACCAGTCAAATTACATTGAAAATGAAGTCATTAAATAAATGGAAAACAATTAGGGATTGTTAACGGCTAGTCAGCAGAAAATAATGATAATAACTAGGATATGTTCTAAAAAGTTATATGTATTGAGGCTAGTTTATAGAAAGAACTGTAAGATCATAGTATAATTCATTATTGACGTGTATTGATCACCACCTAAGATTTAAACGAAGCATGAATTTGTAGGTATCATTACCAAGGTTTGACTTGATAATTTCGAATAAATTGAACATTTGGTAGATTGGTTATTTATTCTCTGGAGAAGTGGCTTACACTGAGTCACGAAACGTCAGAAAATCTAAAATATTAGTAAATTGTAATTTAAGAGGTTTATTAACAGCCTAAAAACCATATACACAGACATCTCAATTTAAGTGAGGGACAACATTTAGTGGTCTCAATTGTTCCAAAAACTATACTCACGTTAATAGACCATACGTAAGGCTCAGAATTTTAGGGACTTACATTGTCCTACTAAGAAAGAAATGGATAAATATGCACAAATGGTTTGTGTGTACAAAATCGTTTATGCGCCTAAATAGTAAAGAATGAGGAATTTATAATTAAATTTTTCATTTAAAAACAAGTACATATAGTTCCAAAAAAGATACACTTACAGGTTTTATAACATTTGAAGAACCCGATTTCGTCCACAATTCTGAATTGCCTTCAGCATCTGAACTCTCAGCTGTTGGTGAACACCAACGTGAACGAACAACATCGTTAACTATAAAAGTTACGCAGAAACGGTAGTAATGTAGTTAAAATGAAAGTTAAATTTGGTTAACATGAAAGGATGGGTACAGAAAGAATCTCACTTTGCGTATACTTAATTATTTTATATAAAAAGTTCTCCAAATAACTCTAGGATTCAGAAACGAAAGTAAACCAGGTTGATTTATACACCATATAGAATAGTGGATTATTTTGAAATGATAAATGTAGATAAATTCGAAAAAAATATCGGTGAAATATACAATATAGAAGAGTGAAATGAAAAGCAAACGAATCTACAATAATAATGCTACACATGATACTTAGAAAGTTAAATTCTCATGAATGAACTTCTTTTATATCGTCAAAGCCTTAAAAAAAAAGAAAATTCACGGTCAAGCTTCAGTAATTTTGCGAGGTGGTGTAAGGATATTGAATAAGCTTTATACATATATTATAAAACGGCCTATATCTGAGTTTATACATATTGAAATATATTAACTTCTTTAATTAACGGTAAAACTATCGTAAACTGATGGGCCCTGAGTTAACGAATCCGAACTAATATATTATTGCGAATCGCGCAAAATTTAGAGTGCAATGGCTGGTAATTTGTATGTTATTATGAATTAAATTAAAACCGAAAATAGTTGCTTCTCAAAATATCCGTTAAAAAATTAGAAAGTAAATCTAAGATAATGCTTAGGCTGAATTACGAAACCTACCCGCTCCGAAGGCAGATTGTGTGTTTAAGTGCTTGATATGATTTAATGAGTAGTCAAACGTTTATGAAGCTAGGTAATATTCTCCATTTCTAACTCTCACTTTAAATCTTAAGTTTGCAAATAGGAGAGTGGCAAAACATAGTAGTAGGCTGATGATAGGTGATGAAAAAAACTCTATAGTGTGATAGCATTAATTCACTACACTACCCTGACTCCTATAATGTAAATTTGACCTTTCTTCTTTACTGCAAGGGATAACTTGACATGTGAGGGTTAATTAGGCAGATCAAAGCTATTATTTCACTGTTCGGTTACTTTTAAATGTTAATTGTTTCATAACTAGACAGTCTCCTGATTAGCTGATAACTCGCCTAAGGTCATCAGCATAGTATAATTTACCTGATTAACTTATTCAATAGAGTGTCGTTTGTGTTGATAACAGTTTGTTTATACCTTAAGGCAATTATTCACATCCTTTGGTGATCATGTATGCTTGGTCGAGTGTTACAACCCACACATATTCCTTTAATTAGCTTAAATATTACTTACTTAAATCGTCCGATGATTCATCCGCTTGCTCCTATATATATATATATATATATATATATATATATATATATATATATATATATATTTATTTATATAAATTTCAGAAGATATATATATATATATATAACATAAATTATATTCCTTCATTCCCTCGCGAAAGCATTTTCATATTTGTTTCGTGTACCTGTGGTCTGTCCTATACAACCGTAAACTGCAGTCACTCCATTGTCTTCTGAAATTTATACACTATTGGGAGTTACCTAATATCGGTTATCAGAACGAGTGATAAACGAAGTATAACAATTACTTTGAAGAAATCTGCGATATATTTAAAACAGCATAAACTGCATATTATAGGTACATGGAACGTCTGGAAAACGTGAGGACCAGTCAAAAAGCAACGGAAATGAGGAGATACAATTTGGCGGCACTGCGAATCAGCGAAACCCATTGGACCCAAGTTGGACAGCGAAAGCTAGATACAGGAGAGATGCTGCTGTACTCCGGTCACGAAGAGAAAAATGCTCCACTCACTCACTCACTCACTCACTCACTCACTCACTCACTCACTCAGGGAGTTGCTCTAATGCTGTCCAAAGAAGCACGTAATGCATTTATAGGATGGGAATCTTACGGATCCAGGACCATCAAAACATCCTTCAGAACAAAGAAGAGAATCACGATGAATGTTATCCAATGTTATGCACCCACCAACAACGATAATAAAGATCATTTTTATGAGAGACTGCAATAGATCCTAGCAAAGTACCCAAGAGAGGATCTCGCCATCTTGATGGGAGACCTAAACGCCAAAGTCGGAATGAACAACACCGGATATGAAGATATCGTGGGATGATATGGACTGGGAGCAAGGAACGAGAATAGGGGGAGGTTTGTAAATCTATGTGCATTTAACAGAATAGTTAGAGACGGCACAATATTTCCACACAAACACATACGAAGCTACATGGGTCTCACCGGATCATACCACGGAGAACCAGATAAATCATATTTGCATCAATAAAAAATCTTGAAGGATAATGGAAGACGTGAGGACCAGGAGGAGCTGGTATAGCTTTAAATCACTACTTGGTGGTTTTCAAGATGAAATTGAAGCTAGAGAAGCATTGGACAGCTGAGGAAACAGCAGTACAAAGATTCAATACAGCGTATCTACGAGATACTAACAAACTCAGCCAAATCAAGATAACTATCAACAACAGGTTATAAGCCTTGAAGGATCCAAGGAAAGAAGAAACTAGGATGGAGGACAGCTGGAAAGGGATCAAAGAGATATTAACTTCAACATGTCAGGAGGTGCTGGACCACAACAAACATCATCATAAGGGATGGATCGCTATGAAGACACTGGACAAGATTCAAGAAAGGAAGAACAAGAAGACAGCTATCAACAACAGCCGAACAAGAGCAGAGAAAGTCAAGGCACAAGCTGAATACACTGAAGCAAACAAGAAAGTGAAGGTCATTAGAATCGACAAGCAGAATTACGTAGAAGAACTGGCAACGACGGCAGAAAAAGCTACAAGAGAAGGAAACATAGAACAGCTTTATGATACAACGAAGAAACTAGCAGGGAGATATAGTAAACCAGAGAGACCGGTCAAGGACAGAGAAGGTAAGACAATCACCGAGATTCCAGAATAAAGGAACAGATAGGTTTATAGCAGCTCACATACATTTGAGTTTATATGAATATTCGTCAATATTAGAACGAATTGTAAGACAAAAATTAGGCGCCGAGTATAGAGAAGCTATTATATGTGAAAGTTATATTTAAAATTACCTCAGAGATTGAAATTTAAATAATTCCAAAGTTTCGTTCATCAAACTTGTCTGGACTCCAAGGTAATAATCAAAACGTTTGTTCACATTTAATTTCGTTAAGCCTTTTTATTAATTTCACAGGTTGAAATCATGAGTCAGTTGAAGCTAGACCACCATTGAAAACCTGGAAGCACTGGACGGCCGTTTCGTCATAGTATGGGACTCCTCAGCAGTGCGCATCCATGATCCCGCACCACGCGGGGCTCGAACCCAGGACCTACTGGCTTCGCGCGCGAGCACTTAACCACTAGCCGGCTCAGTGGTCTGTGAAATTTCTAAAACTCCCCACAAAACCCTTTTTATTAAATTATTTAAGAGACAGAGTCGTTCGTACAACAACAACTTTTGTATACCATAGTACTTTTATTATTGTTGTGCTTGTATGCTTGATCATTGTTTACCGGCTACGCATATAGTCATTCTGCTAGTTTCAATGTGAGTCGCTTAAATGATTTGATGACTCATTCGTTTTCCTATATATATATATATATATATATCAGAACGAGCAGTATACGAAGTTTAAGAATTATATCTAATGACGACCGCCACAGATGGAATAATTCGAGGAAATCTTGAATAGACCTCCATTAAATACACCGGACATCGAAGCAACACCTACACACCTTCCTATAGATATCACTCTACCAACGGCCGAAGAAATCACGATGACTATCAGACAAATCAAGGGCGGGAAAGCAACAGGATCTGACAATATACCAGCCGAAGCACTGAAGTCAGATATCGAAGTAGCTGCAAGTATGCTTCACCTTCTATTCAGGAAAATTTGGGAGGAAGAACAAGTGCCGATGGACTGGAAAGAAGGACACCTCATCAAGAGACCAAAGAAAGATCTGAGCAAATGTGAGAACTACAGAGGCACTAACTACTGTCAGTACCAGGAAAAGTTTACAACAGTGTTGCTGAACCGGATGACAGACTCAGTAGACGCCCAACTTCGAGGTCGGCAAGCTGGATTTCGTAAGGATCGGTCGTCGACAGACCAAATCGCGACACTACAAATCATCGTCGGACAATCAGTTCAGTGTAATTCGTCATTATACATCAACTTCATTGACTATGAAAAGTCATTTGACACTATGATGTGCCTGAGAAGAACGTTAATATGATACAGAATTCATGCGACAGACTACAGTGCAAAGTTGTGCATAGAGGACAACTGGCAGATGCATTCCAAGTAATGACTTGAGTCAGACAAGGCTGCATACTCCCGCCCTTCCTCTTTCTTCTGGTGGTCGACTGGATTATGAAGACCTCGAAATCTGACAGGAAGCATGGAATACAATGGACAGCTCGGAATCAACTGCACGATTTGGACTTTGCAGATCACCTAACTCTTACATCTCATACACAGAGACAAATGATGGTGAAGACAACTAGTGTAGCAGCAGCCACTGCAGCAGTAGGCCTCGACATACACAAGGGAAAAACCAAGATGCTCAAATAAACATGGAGAACACCAACCAACCCAATCACAATCGATGAAGAAACTCTGGAAGGGTTGGACAGTTTTACGTATCTGTGAAGCATCATCGATGAACAAGGAGGATCTGATGCAGACGTAAAGGTGAAGATTGGGAGAACAAGGCCAGGATTCCTACGATTGGAGAAAACATGGAACTTAAAACAACTGTCTGTCAACCAATATCAAAGTCTGAATCTTTAATACGAACATCATGACAGTCCTACTGTACGGGGCTGAAACTTAGAGTACTACAACCATAATCGAAATGATACAAGTATTTATAAACAGTTATCTACGCACGATATTCAATATCCGCTGGCCGGATACCGTCAGCAGCCTGCTGTGAGAGAGAACAAACCAGCTCCCAGCTGAAGAGGAAATTAGGAAAAAACGTTGGAAGCTGATAGGACATACATGATGGAAATCAGCAAACTGCATCGCGAGGAAAGCCCTAACTCGGAATCCTGAAGGGAACCGGAAAAGAGGAAAGTCAAAGAACGCACTGCGCCGAGAATCGAAGCAGACATGAAAAGGATGATTAGCAACTGGGAAGGATTGTTCAGCACAGGGTCAGATGGAGAGTGCTGGTGGGCAGCCTATGCGTAAAATAAATATATCAATTAAAAAGATGATTGCAAACGAAGAGTGTGAACAGTCCTAACGAATACCACTAGGTACAGGCATTCCAAATACCAAACCATCGTAAGAACTGAAGTTATTCTTTTTTCCAGACGTTCACACCCTTCCCCACTTGTTAATTATTAGTCTCGATCGTAATGGTTTATTTAGGACGTTCAAGAGTGGTAGACAACTATAAGTTATGCAAGCATTAGGGCTGAATACACTACTTAGATGTCCGAATCATCCTGTGGCATGTGACTCAAGAATTGAAATCATGAAAATTAAGTGGTGAAACGATAACGTTACATGTTTTGATATCTGAAAGTAAACTTCTTTTGATTTAAAAACTGAATGCTAAAAACCACCGCATAACCACCATGAAGATAAGTAATATACTTTTTAACAACAAAACGAAAGTCCAGAAGACTGTTTATCCAGTATGTTCACCGGAAACACACTGAGTACGATAATATCTGAATATATTCCACCGAATTGAAACCATTTGGAAAAAATATTAAAAACCAGAGGGAACTGGATGGCTCCTGTTAAACACAGATTAAACTGTTTTCAAAGGGCAAAAATATTATGAAAACTGTCGCTGAATTGTCTGATAACAGTTAAAGTAATTTGTGATACATTTTAAGTTAAGATAGATGAATGATATCTAGGATTTTTGATTATTTTATTAAATGCCAGTTCATGAAAAATAAATTTAAACCAATAAGAAAGTCCTCACAACTCTTATTATCACCAATACGAATATGAATTAAATTATGGAAAAAAACTTACCAGCTTTTACACGACCTCTAGATTTAGGTGGACGTCCACGACGTGGCATTTCAGTCTTTTTAACTTTCCAATCAGTAGAGGACTAGTAAAACAAACCAAATAAAGGAATCTTCATCAAGCCGTATTGTAAAGAGAACAACACATTTAAGTTTCCAGTGAAACCAGTTTATTGGGGATTTCAAATAAAAATATCTGATTTAGTCATGTAACGAATAGCGAGAATAAATAATTATCCATAAGGAATGTTACAACTAATCTGAATAAGGGACAAATTATACAAAAGTATGCATTTTTCAAACGAAGATATCTGAATATTTTAGTTGGAGTTATCGCAAGGAACACAGACCGAGTTCGAGTAGACGACTTCTACCTATTCATGCCGATGTATATCATGGTGACAGTTGGACAGTTTTCGCTGGAATGCTGGTTCCCATAAATGTAAGGTCGATTAGAGGGTGGTAAAACGGAAAGCAAATACTGATACAATGTTAGTGAGTCGAGCGAAAACTGTCGGGTTATATTATGTAAAATTAAGGTTACAAAAGCAGTCTCTGAAGTACACAACTTCGAAGAGCAAGTAGGAGTTGGGGCACAAGGAAATATTTTAGGACACTTGTTAGTGTTTGTCAGTCAGTCACAACACAGAACCTGTGCGTATGTAGATTGGTCCAAGTTTCCATACCCCCATTAGCAGCATACTGAGATTAAGTTTTTAAGCCAAATTCCAGAACCGTAGATGTAGTAATGTATTAAACAAAACACGGGTGGGGACAATCGAATGTATTTGACACAAAATTACAGAGCATCTCAATAAAATCTGAGAACCAAATATTAAATCGTTAATTTGCAAAATGTCCACCAACTGTTTCAAAATGCCTCAGACTTCATTGTTCTTACATTTTCATACAAATTGCATTCTATTCCCGCTCTTGCTTTCTTGATCTTCCCTCATCTTCTGCTGTCACACATTACATTCCTGACTCGCATAATATACTACTTATATCAATATAAGTCGCACGCACCACAGTATCAGTGGTAATAGGAAAGATAAGGAATCGAAGATACGATTCGAAAAGAACATAAATGAATGAAATATAAACAAAATAAAAACATTTACAAGGAATTTAGAACTCCCGAATTTGGGGAAGACAATAAATTAGTGCATTTGTGATATTGCAAACGACTTTGAATTATGTCATTCAAAGTCTCTCACCATTAGTTACGATAATCACGCAGACCCTATTCTGGTAGTCTATACCTGGCTAACTCCAATTGTCAGTGACTTCATGGACTGATGCCATGTTTTAATTCGACCGCCGTCAGCTTTCTTTTAGCCCACTCCTATACCAGAAAACATCGCCCGTCGAAGTAGCACTTATTATTTGTGCACACGAACAAATAATAATAGTCGTTTTTATTTAACTTCGAAGCTGCTACCTTGACGTGGTGGTCAAGCTTGCCTATCGTAATGACCCAACCGAGCTATATTGGCTGGAACATATGTTCCTGTAGGTTCTACCATGCCAGGCAGGTCGATTGGAGAACGGTAAGACTAAAAGCAGCAACTCAAGGTCTGAGGGCGAAGTCGTACTGCTGACTGTAGAGGGGTGTGACAGCAGTAAGGTGTTTCCTTAAAAAAAAGCCCAGCATCTACAGCAATGCTGCCTTCCCACAAGGAAGGAAGGGTAAGAAAATGTCGACCCTAAGAATGTCACATCTCACCTCACCTTACGGATTTCTGTTTCCGGCAGTAAGGCCCTTTGAAGAACGGAGCTAACACATTAAAGACCTTCCACAAAAAGACCGTGCGCGACCGGTCTCAAGTAGTTGTCCCTTGGGCTCTGCGGTCACGCTCCCAGGTCGTTGAGACCAACACTAATTCAATTCCCTTTTCAGGTTCCTCAAGAAATACGCTTTCACGGTGTGGGCAGCCGGGAAGTGATATCAGCCCTCATACCCGTATCAGCACACGAGACAAAGTTGGTCACATTCAAATCCCTCCTACACCTCCTAATACCTCTCTTATCTCCATGACTAACCCTCCTCACGTCTCTTTATTACCTCGCACCGCTAGGGCAAACCATTCGAGTACGTGGAACGCCATTCCTGGTCTCCTGAAACCACATTCTAAACTACACGTAGGAGCTTTTAACGTCCGAGCACTGTGCCAAATAGGACAGCAGGCTTCCTTAGCTAGGACTTTAGAATCTCGCGCCATCGATGTGTGCTGCGTCTCCGAAACGCGCATACAGGATCCAAGTAGCGTCATTCATTTGACCTCACCATGCCAAAATAAAGAACCGACTCGATTTACGCTTCGTGTATCTGGAAGCCCTGATTCTGCTTCCCGTGGCCTCGCCGGCGTAGGTATTGTATTGAGTCCTAGGGCAGAACTAGCTCTCTTAGAGTGGATCCCAGTAGACAGTCGTTTGTGCTCTGTCCGACTGAACGGAACAATAAGGATCCGAAAAGATAGGGACACTCGTCGTTGCCTCTTCGTCGTCTCTGCCTATTCTCCCACTGACTGCAGCTCAGATGATGTAAAAGATGAGTTTTACAGGAAGGTCTCCGACCTTCTCCGAAAAGCTAGGTGCTTTGATGTAGTAGTGGCTGGCGACTTTAATGCTCAAGTAGGTAAACTAAGCGATAGGGAAAGACACCTGGGTGGATCTTATGGTGTGGCTCAAAGAACAGATAATGGCGACCATCTGTTGCAGCTATGCTCAGATAACCGCCTGTTCCTTGCAAATACTAACTCCAAGCATAAGGAAAAACATCTTTTAACATGGCGACCCCTTATTCGTCTCAACGTTGGACCCAAATAGATCACATCGCTATCAGCCACCGACGGAGGGGTTCGATAGAAGACTGTTACTCATTTTGGAGCACATGGTTAGATTCAGATCATGCTCTAGTGCGAGCGCGTATTTGCCTGCGTCTTGCTGGACGTAAGGAAGGCGCTGCAAGGAGACCTTTTACGGTCCTGTTTAATGATAGTCAAACTAAGGGTATATTCCAGGAACAACTAGGAAAACAGTTAAGCAGCCATGTAGGTGACGGTGATGTCCGAAAAGCTGTGGAAACAGCAGTGATATCTGCTAGTAAAGTAAACCACAGGGTTAGGGGGAAACACAGGATCTCAGCAGCATCTATCGCACTGATAGATGCTTGGAAACTCATTCCACCTGGCTCTGAACATAATGAAGAGCGGAGTCAGCTTAAGCGCAAGCTGACAAGAAGTCTACGCAATGATCGCGAACAGTGGTGGGTAGCGAAAGCAAGAGAGATGGAAAAGGCAGCGGCAATAGGTAATAGCAGACAATTGTTCAAACTTGTTAAGGAAACCGACTGTTAGCGAAACACTCTCAGAGAAAGATGGACATATTATACATTCTCAATCCAGGAGATTGGATTGATGGGCAGAACACTTTAGGGATCAGGTCAACTGGCCTTCAGCCACACTTCGGTTTCCCATGATTTCCAGTCCACCTGAATGGCAAGTTAATGTAGGTCCTCCGTCCCTTTACGAAGTTGAAAAAGCCATAAGAAATCTGAAACGAGGGAGAACAGCAGGCCCTGACAGGTTTACTCCTGAGATTTTTAAGGATGGTGGTTCAGTATTAGCAGTGAGATTAACCGAGGTCTTAGGTAGAATTTGGGAACTGGACGTAATCCCATCTGACTGGTCTCAATCACAGATTGTGCCAGCTTATAAGAAAGGACAAAAGTCCTCTTGTGACAACCACAGGGGAATCAGTTTGACAAATATAGTGTCAATTTACTACCTTGTGTACCTTTATTCCGAAACTGTAAGTAAGTAGAGAATGCCCAAAATATAACCAAAACACTTAACAGAGAATTTAATCGAATGTATTTTACTAAAAGTAAATCATTCTCTTACTATCAAGAATAAAACCATCATTTTTTAAATATTTAGACATTTTTTATCTCTCAAAATACGAACGCAAATTCCCGTTAATACACATCGTTATGAATACCATTAGTTATATTCAACAGAAAGTCTGTATAATGCTAATTGACTCATGACATAATTTGGTAGACCTTAAATATCAAATAAAATCAGAACAAGTAACTTAGTTGACTGGTTAGACTCCTGGAGAATGCATATGCATCGACTAATTAAAATCACATTAAGCAAATCATAAAAACAACATAATAAGAAAAAGTACTCACATTAGAACACCAGTTGTTTTGAGAACTATTATTTGCGGTGCAAGGAACATCTACTCCTGACAAGGAACCTGATGAAACAGATGAAGATGGGCTATCTGAAGAATGGGATGATGAAGACGAACTTCGGTATTTACGCCGCCGAATAGGTCTTCCCTTGCTATCTCGGAGAGGGGGTCTCCCTCGACCCCGTTGACCACGTATCGGAACGTTTGAATGATTTTCTTTTGATTGTTTTCGATAAGGTTTATCATGCTCACGATGAGTTAAAGATAAGAGGTCAGCAGTAAAGGATCCAGCAGGCCTACGACCAGACCCAACTGCAGCTGCCATAGCTGCTTTTGTCTCTGCTAAGGCGGATATAGCTGCAGCGCCCGGAGTACCGGGTTGAACAACCGGCATTGGAAGACGATTACTCGCCAATCTTTTGTCAGTAAGATCGGTGTGTGAATTAAGCAAGAGACCATGGGTTCTGAAGTGCTTGCCACCATGAGTACATGGTGAGACATCACGAGTGGGTGAGCCACCAGTAGGAGTATCACTAGTAGTCGTTTGATGACTGCTTGAAGACGTGTGACGCCTGTATAAAAAATAAAAAAGACAATTAAGACTGAAAAATTTTTCATCTTCCAAACCAAACGTAAAAATGTTGGGAAATCGAAATATGAAGAGCACAGGACCTCCTAATAGTTTAATAATTTCTAGTAAAATCAAGAATAAATTTTAAAATATATACCTAAATACCAATAAATATTAACACTACGAGGTGAGCAGTTCAAAGTCAGAAGTTAACATGGAATCATCAAGTCACACGTTACAACTCAACCCAGTCTGATTTGTTTAGACAGCTCGGTAGTATTACTACCACGGGTAAAAAAATGAAGCACAAATGTACTTAATAAGGGTGATAAGGGCATGTATAATTTTAAGCTGTCGATTGTCCCCACTTGTGTTCTCGTTCATTAAAGTAGTATTAATCGAATGACGAGGTCAATCAAACATAACTAGCTAAGCTAACACAGAAGACAACGAAGAAAATATTACAGAGAAGTTCGGGTATAAAAAGTACAATTATGTCCAAAATACCTGAGGAAAGTCAATATAATATGACGAATGAACACGTAATACAGTGGCACCAGCTACATAAGATAACCACTTAGTGTCGTGTAAAAGACATATATAGAACGTGAGAAAATATAGTTTGATTACCTCCTTTTGTTAGCCTTGGTATTACCAGAAGTAAGAGACGATCTAGGACTATCTGCACGATGTGAACGTTGGCTCTGGATGACGGTTTTACGCCGTGGACCAAGATACATTTCGTCAGAGTATTCATCATCAGATGGGGGAAGATCGCTTTCACCAGAAGAATGTGTGTAATATCCACTATCGATGTTAGCTTGTAATTTACTAACTTCATTCCAAGCTCGTTCAAATCCTCCACCTGAGATCGCACCTGTCGCGTTTGAACGTCGAAGTACACCAACTTCATCAGCTGGGAGGTGAAAAGCACGAGTATGGGCTTTCTTTACGAACATCCGCTCATGGGAGCCTCCAAAGAAGCGTATCTAGAACACACATTAAGAAAGAAAAGGATAAAATCTATAAAATTAAATCCGAAATTTGCTATACTTATTCGAAGAATTTGGAACTAAGTGAATAAACTCAACCTAAAGAGTGGCAAAACTAAAGACAACTTTGAGACTTGCTACTGAACACTTGTAAGGTAAAATGATTAGGGGAAAAAATTTTGTGTATCCACAGATAGAATGACTCAACTGAAAATAACAAAGTATGCATCAATAAATTCAGATTGTCTGAGCTATGGAGCTTTTACTTGGTACCGAAACACCACTATATATATTTGTTTGTTGAGTAGGTATATTAAGAAAGTAAACTTCCTGAAACAGATAAAGGTCGATTTATTTCATAGAAACTTCGAATACATGTGTTAGGTCGAGCCACGTGTATTATATAGTAGATAAATAAACTAGTCAGACAGCCGCACAGAATAAGAATCCAACCGTATTCTAATGAAACGTAACGTGAGTTCAATTATTGTTCGTTTGTAATTAATAAGCCCTGTTCCCTTAGAGTATCAGTCTTGATTACGTATTCGCTAGAAAACGTTCATGATAATAAAATAGGCAACTTACCTCATATCCGTCATCGCGTTCCAACAAAACTTTTGCAGGCCAATAGAATTGAGAGACTGAAGTATCGTTGAACAAGCCAGCCCCTGCTGATGTGCGATTGCGTGCCCATATCAATTCATGACGTGGTTTGCAGGGTTTACTAATCCAGTCTGTAACACGAGCCTTAGCGTTGATATAACAGTCAGTACATAATTGGATTTCATTTAATTCTGTATTAACAGATCGAAAGAAAAATCGTATCTCATCGGCTTGATTACTATAAGGGCCATGAAGAATGCAGACATCATGAACAAGCAATTGTACATCCATAGAAAATTCCTCTAAAGCAGCATACCGACCATCTTTTATCTTGCGTTGCAATAACTCTAGATCAGTGTACTTATACACAAGGTACTCATTTTTTGTTATTTCACCTTTATACCCAACTTGAATAAATGTTTTCCACAATGGCTGCTTCCTCAATTGATGGGTTGCAAATTCCAATAGCTTCCTTATCTGCTTGCGGGAGAATTCACATTTCGGTCGAGATTCGCATACAGGACAAGTAAAATTATCTTCCTGCCCATCATGAAGAGTTGGTGAACGCACAGACTTTCTTGATGGACTATTAGGACCAGATGCTTCTTGAACACAATCAGAATGATATACACGGAAACAATCAAGACAGCGTAAAACTTCACCAGGTCTATGGCACTGGAAGCAATACCAATCATGTTTGCCTCTAGGATGCTGTTTTGAAAAGTCAGGAAGCTGGTAACGAACCATACCATTTTTACCGAACGGAGGCTCTATTTTTTCAATTAATCCATCACCTTCAATTTCATCAAGGAGTAACCTTATTTGATCATCTTTTAGATCCAATGTTTTGCGAAGAATTTTGCTAATTTTGTCTGCTGGTACTGCTAGTCGGTGGGATTTAAGTACACCAAAAGCATCCCAAACTTGACGCACTTTTAAAGGATCGGCGTGTCGATAGCTACTAAGTTTGGCGTAATCCATACTTGAGATCAATTCATACTCTAAAACAAAATGGAAACACATGAAGTCCCAGAAACATATCCTATATGCCGTTAAACCACTACAGTGGGTAAGTTATAGGCATAAGTTACCTTTAATAAAACGAAGGATATAGTATAAGTGTGATTCGGTTCAATGAGTTACACCGTTTCAAAACAATGAGGTGAAGTCCATAAAGAGAGTAGCAAGAGTCGAGATAGGTGTCACTGATAGCAAGACTGGTAATATGGTTCCAGGAATAAAATAATAGCATAATAAGTATCAGTTAGTAGTGAAACGCAAGATCTAGGGGAAGAGTTTGGTCGCTGGTAAATATTTTTCAGCTTACTCATACACTAGGCAGAAATGGCCGTCGAAATAGACGGTTATTAAGGCTGACGAACATTCACAGTCATATCAAACAGTTCTCCATATTTCGGCGGATTAGGCACTCGACCTTTGGACTAAATTAAGCAATGTCAATTAGGTGTTTCGCCATGTGCAAGCAATTTCATGATGATACGGCCAAATATTAGTCAGCGAAATTCCTCCTACTTTTAAGGACTACATTAAAAACATGACAGTCAGGTGTAAGTTATAAAATTACCAACAAGACTGGATCTAATTAGATTTAAAGCCATTAACAATCAGCAATTAATAAAACGAATCTAATAATTGGTAAGTGGAAAAGTCCGATGCACCATCAATAAGGAAACCATAAGTTTTAGTTTTTCAGAAATGGTTAGGATGTAAAGTTGCAAAACAGGCGGAACATGATTATCATTAATCACACCATATTTCGCAAACTGGTTTATGATAAAATCATGAATGTAGCAGTCACATTTTCACCCTTCACCGAATGTTAGAACACACTTATCGCAAGCCAACAATGGTTGTTTCTCGACATCAGAATCAACTTCGATTAGTTGGATAGAACTGTGCTCTGGGATTGTCTGTTAAAGGGTGTTTGCGAAGTTTGCTATCATCTTAAAGATTCTGTACACCAACACCTCGGGTAGAGTAAGAACACAAAACATTTCCCTGTTTCATTCTGGAAGCGCGGTTAGACAAAGTTGTTTAATCAAACCACAACTAACTCGAGTTCGCCGTCGACGACATTTTGGAAAGCCAGATGAGAATATGCCAATATCAGCCAACTTTGGCACCTGCGTGATAATTTGGATGTAAAGGGTTGGGCCTAAAATGTGTCGATGAGAACAGTTTTGTTTCATGCTTGTGAGATATGACCTCTTTGAGTTGAAGTGTTAAACAACTCTGTTTGATCGTCGTTTTCTCTAAAGGGTTGTGGACATTCAGCGACAACTAACAATGAGGAGGTCCGGTCATGTGTTCGTGCGACGACAATAGGTCAGTTAGTGACATTACACTGGGACACGCTGTCGTGATTAGAACACGTTACGAATGTCACCGAAGTGGCTTCTACACTTAGCACTACACAACGAGGCCAGGTGGAGTAGTCAGTTTATAATAAGCCACCATGGTCGACGTCATCAATCCAGTTACATAAGCAATTTAACATGTGGACATGCTGCATCGTTGTACACCATGTATCGCTCGGGATTATATTAATTAATTAGGAATCGACTATATCTACTAAACATTAAAACCTCAACAAAAAAAGGAAATGTTATGGTGTTTTGATATTCAAGACTTAGTTCATCTATTTATATTGATATGGAGAATCGAGCAACGTCAATAATTTCCATAGACAAAAGTGTGACTTACAATCGGTAATGGAATATGTTCTTGATGAGTTACACAAAACTTAATGCTGGTTAGGATTACATCATGTGGTGCAGACATCCCGGTTGGTGTTAAGTAAGATCTAAGGGACATTTGCAGTGAAGCAGACAGTTTATTTTAACCACTCAGATGATCTTGGATGCAATATGATTTCGACGCTTACTAAGACAAAAGAAGAAATGCTGGGATGTTGCCATCCGCCTTGGCACAGCAGATACGATGGAACACTACAGATCGATAAGAAACGTGTGTATAACTAAAATTCGGGAAGCGCAAAGAAAATACGAAATGCAGCTGGCAGAATCTGCACTCAAGCAGCCCAAGAGGATATTCTCGTACATAAACTACAGAACAAGGACTCATCACTGGATTCCCAACCTAATTAAAGTAGGAAGTGAATCTGAAATGATAGAGGAAGATCAGGAAAAAGCTGAGATTATGGCTGACTACTTTGGGGCAGTTTTCACTCAGGAACCTCCTCTAGAGAAAGAACCAGACCCAATTACAGAGTCAACAAACCAGCTGCTCACCGTGGACTTCGACCAAAACGATGTGCTTAAGGCTCTTAGCACCCTAAACAAGGAGAAGTCAACAGGACCAGATGAACTACACCCTAAAATCTTGAGACATATTGCCGAATATATCGCAGCTCCACTGACTGTGATATTCAAAATGTCACTTGACCAAGGTGTGTTACCTATGGACTGGAAGGACGCAATCGTCACTCCCATACATAAAACTGGTCTACGACAAGTTCCATCAAATTACAGACCCGTAAGCCTCACCAGTGTTGTTATTAAAATACTGGAAAGGATAATCAAACGGACCATAACAGCATTTATGGAAACCAATAACTTGCTGAACATGGCACAACATGGTTTTAGAAAGGGTCTATCCTGTACAACGAACCTCCTTATAGCTAGGGAGCTCTGGATTAATGCGCTAGACAACGGAAACTCAGTGGATGTTGTCTACATAGACTTCAGTAAGGCTTTTGACAAGGTGCCAACTAATAGACTGCTATTGAAGTTGGCAAACCTTGGTATTGCCGGACCTCTTTTAAAATGGATTAAGGATTTCCTAGTAGGTCGTAGGCAAAAAGTAAGAATAAATTCCAAGTGCTCCATCTGGAGACCAGTACTTAGTGGAGTACCCCAAGGTTCCGTCCTAGGTCCTTTACTTTTTATAATGTACGTTAATGATCTTACAAGTATAGTACAGTCTCCAATGTTATTATACGCTGACGATGTAAAAATTTGGCGAGTAATAACTGGAGACACAGACGCATTTACTCTTCAGGCGGACTTAAATAATATGATAAACTGGTCTAAAGAGTGGCTAATGCCTATCAACTCGGAAAAGTGTGTCTACATGCACTTGGGGGATTCAAAGGTTAATACGTACAACATAGGAGATGTGTCATTACCCGTAGTCCGGTCTCATAAGGACCTAGGGGTGACAGTGAGCAATGATCTTAAGACGACGGCCCATTGCCGGGAGGTCGCAGTTAAGGGGTTTCGAACCCTCTGGGCTTTAAAAAGGACATTCACTAAGCTTGATACTACCATGTTCACCACATTATACACATCCTTAGTGAGAACTAAGTTAGAGAACTGTGTTCAGGCTGCAAGCCCCTGTTTAAAAGGTGACTCAGACATACTAGAAAAGGTACAGAGGGCAGCTACGCGTGCGATTCCGGAACTCCGGGGTTTATCATATGAAGAGCGGCTTGAAAAACTGAACCTCTTTACTCTGTCCTATCGCAGACTAAGGGGAGATCTAATATTGATGTACAGAATACTGAGAAATGATTTCGGACCTAACTTATTCTCTCTCTTTCTTCCCACTAGATCGGGACACCTCAGAGGACATAGTAGGCGAGTAGAAAAGCCAAGAACGAACAAAATACCTCTGGCATACAGGTTTTCACACCGAGTCATCAATACTTGGAACCTGCTGCCTGAAGCAGTGGTATCCGCACCTTCAATTGACTCTTTCAAGAGAAGACTGGACACTCACAGAAGCATACTAGAAAAGGAATAACATAGGCCGTAGGCCTTCTGTCCTTACTACACAAATCTGAATCTGATCTGAATCTGAGATCCTAACCTCATAACTATTATCAGCTCTTGAAGGCTAGTCACCTCCGAGGCCATTACGAAAATGTTTCAAAACCATGACCGAAGGGTGAAATCTTATTGTCAACAGGCAGCGCAATACACCCAAAGCGATACTATCCCTGTGAGTAAACACTTTCAAATACTTGGTCAGCTGATTTCCTGTGCTTGTCAGTAAAGACTGATACACGCTCGAAACTGGATGAACACCAAAGTAACATCTGAAGTCAGTAAAACAAGACTTCATTGGATAATACCAAACGTGTCATACTAAAAGTTGTAGTGTTTCACTCAAAAACGTACTGTCTAGACTATTCAAGTCAATAAAACACGCAATTAAATATAAATGAACATATGGATAGATAAAAATCTTGGTGTGACAAAGAGAAACTGCAAAAACTAAGCTTGGTCTAACATGTACTACATGCTGTCAGACGGTTTAAAAATTTTAATTTATTTTTTTTGAATAAAACAGAAAATGAGATATGCAGCCAACTTACATTAACGCAGGAGCTGCCATTGAAAGACAGTAAACTTAAACAAAAAACATAAAGTTTGTAAAATAATTAATGGACTGTAATTAAAATAAACAATTTTGCATTTTTACGTAATATTTGTCGAAGATTCACAGTGTAGTAATACAGCAGCGCCTATTACAAACAAGCTGACCCTTTTGGAAATTCAGGAAGGTTTTGTAAGTCGTTGCTATTAATTTCATACCAATTTTAGTCTCTTCAGTTTACCATAAACATGATACTTGGTCATCAGGCCGTGAAATTTAAATATTTTGCTTTCTTAAAGTGCTTATATTTATTAACGTCCTGTTTGCTAATGTGATTATCAAACCGTTCCACTTTGTCCATAGTAGTTCAAATGGTTGTTGACGGAATAGAAAAAACTCTCGCTCAACAGGCTTCCGTGTCTAGTAGCAGGGTATCACCAAATCCTCCGGGAAGGAACCTAAGTATTCTTGTTGTCACGAGCGGCATTGCCAGACAACTCAAGAACTATAGCCGCCAGGTACTCGAGGACAGCTGCCAAATAAACAGGGGCACGAGCCCCGACACGCTCTGCGTAGTTACCCTTGCGAAGAAGGCGATGGACACGACCAACTGGGAACTG